ATGAGTTGGCCGACCTTGCTTCTATGGTCGACAACGCATCACGCCGAGGTAGTTATGGAGGAAGTGAAGAACTTGCTTGAGGCGCGAGCAATTCAGGAAGTGCACTACCCTCGGTGGATTTCAAACACGGTCGTGGTGCCCAAGAAGAATGAGAAGTGGCGAGTTTGCGTTGACTACAAGACCGTCAACCGAGCTTGTCCGAAAGACAGCTTCCCTCTATCTAGAATAGACCAGCTTGTGGACTTAACGGCTGGACATAACAGGCTCAGTTTCTTGGACGCCTACCGCGGCTACCATCAGATTGCCATGCATGGGCCTGACCGAGAGACCACCTCGTTTACTACACCAAGGGGACTATTCTGCTACCGAGTCATGCCTTTTGGTTTGAAGAACGCCGGGGCAACTTTTCAAAGGATGGTGACCAAGATGTTCGCTCCTCTGCTGGGCCGGACAATGGAGGCCTATATTGACGATATGGTGGTTAAGAGCCGGCATCAAGCAGACCATTTGTCCAATTTGGCCGAAATGTTCGCCATTCTCAAAAAGCACAAGTTACGCCTGAATGCGTCTAAGTGTGCCTTCGGCGTGGGATCTGGAAAATTTTTGGGTTTCCTAGTCACGAACCGAGGTATCGAAGCAGACTCTACACAAATCCGAGCCGTGCAAGAATTAAAACAGCCTAGCTCGGCTAAGGATGTGCAGCATCTGGCTGGAATGGCTGCCACGCTTAACCGATTTTTAAGCCGGTCGTCAGATCGCTGCCGCCATTTTTTTCAAGCCTTGAAATCAAAGTTCTCATGGGATGAAGAGTGTGATCGGGCTTTGGTCGAACTCAAGGAGTATTTGTCTTCCGCGCCGTTATTGGTCACACCAAAATCCGGAGAAGAACTTTACCTTTATTTGGCCGTATCGCAGCATGCAGTCAGTGCAGTGTTTGTCCGGTCAGAAGGAATCAAACATCTACCCATCTTCTACGTCAGCAAAACCTTGCTACCGGCAGAGTCGAGGTACTTGTCGCTGGAAAAACTTGCGTTAGCATTGATGATGGCTTCATGGAAGTTGGCACACTATTTCCATGCCCATACCATCATCGTCTTGACCGAGTTCCCTCTCAAAGCTTTGTTTGAACGGGCAGACTTCTCCGATCAGATTCTTAAGTGGGCGGTCGAATTGGGACAGTTTGATGTGAAGTTCCAGCCGCGCACAGCCATAAAAGCCCAGACTCTGGCCGATTTCATTGTTGAGTTCTCACCTGGAACTCATCCAGCGTGCCCGGTTGATATTGCCGTGGCAGATGAAGAAATGAATGCAAGCTCGACCGAAATACCACAGCTTGGCGGCATTGGCGACGCGGAGCTTGCACACCCCGCCGAAGCCCCTTCAGTTAATACGATACTACAACCTGGTGATGCGATGGCCAAGTTGGCTGTCATTGACCAACCCGCTTTGTCCGACATCCCATCACCGAGGAGGATAGAAATGGAACCACTCAGCACAGAGCCTGCGGTCGGCATAATACCGCAACCTGGCGATTCGCCTACGGACTTAAGCATTATGGATCAACTTGCTGAGTCCGGCGCCGAATCACCAAGGGGGGCTGAAGTGGAACCACTCAGTATGGGACTAGAAGTCGAACAGCCGAGCAACCGTGATCCCATCAACCTTCAAGCTTCTCAGGACCCCTCAGAGTGTTGGAAGCTCTTTGTTGGCGAAATATGGAAACTTTTTGTTGATGGAGCCTCGAACCGTCACGGTGCCGGGCTGGGTATAGTCCTGATTTCTCCAGACGGACTGACTATTAAACATTCTATCACCCTTGGCTTCCCAGCATCCAACAATGAGGCCGAGTACGAGGCGCTATTGGCCGGTCTCAAGAGCGCGCTTCAGATGCAAGCATCCGAGCTAATGGTTTACAGTGATTCCCAGCCATTGGTTAACCAAGTTTCTAGGGTTTACGAGGCAAAGGATAACAGAATGATGAAGTACCAAGCTCTGGTCAGAGACCTCATCAAGCGATTTTTGAGGCGATCAGGGTCCAACAGATTGGCCGAGAAGAAAACGGCCAAGCAGATGAGTTGGCTGGCCTTGCTTCTATGGTCGAGTAAATGGAAATAGAACTTTCCAACTGATATTGGAACTGTGCAGAGTTTTGGATTGACAATTACTCTTGATCCAGGATTGAAGGTTAGAGGTGAAAGAGTTGAGTACGGGAAGAGGCATACCTAGATTAGTCCAATAGTGAGAAATCATATGGCAATCTCTCAGAGGATGACAGGTTGTTTTAGGTTCCCGATTGCACAAAAGACAGAGTGGATCAGGTGTGATGTGTCTTTTGAAGAGTTTGGCTTTGACATTGATGCGACTATGAAGAGTAAGCCAAAGAAAATGCAAGATCCTAGGGATGAGGGGATTTTCCAAATCCAAGACCAGTCCAGGCTTGGAGAGTTGATAGAATTATTGTTTTTTTTGTTTTTAGTGAATATTTTTAAAATTTTAATCATTTTTTTACTTTTTTAGATGCACCTTACTTAAATGTATCTAAAAAATAAAAAATTTGTGAAAAAATATTTTAAAAAAATTAATAAATACATAAAAATACAAAAAATGTACTGAATTCTCGTTTTTTTTTTTTTGTATTTTTGATATTTAGTAAATTTAAAAAGGTTTTTTTCACATTTTTTTTACTTTTTAGGTATATTTATGTTAGGTATGTCTAAAAATTAAAAAAAAAAATGCTTAAAATATGAAAAAAAAATTCAGTACAAATAAAAAAATACAAAAAAATAAGAAAGTAGAATTTTCTGAAAACTGTTTTCAGAAAAACGAAACCAAACAAGCTTAATTGTTTTTTTCCAATTTTAAAACTGAGAACATTATCAGTTTTTTCATTTTTAAAGTTTTTGTGTGTGTGTGTGTGTGTGTTTTGCACATCAATGTTTCATCATCATACTCCTTTATAGATTCAAAATTTTAAGTTTTGCACAAAAAAATAATTCAATTTTTTTAATTTTTCCAAAAAAAACCATTCCGTGTATTTTGTTTCAGTTTTCTGAATTCAATTTTCTAAAAACTGAATTTTTTGTTTTTCGTATTTTTTTATTTTTAGTGAATATTTTAAAATTTTAAACATTTTTTTTAATATATTTTTAGATGCACCTTACTTAGATGTATCTAAAAAGTAAACTATTTGTGAAAAAATATTTTAAAAAATTAATAAACACACAAAAATATAAAAAAAAAATACTGAATTTTAGTATTTTTTTTTTATAATTTTAGTATCTAGTGAATTTTTTAAAGATTTTTTTTACAAAAATTATACTTTTTAAGTGTATTTATGTTAGGTGTTGAGAGGGAGAATTATGAGCCGGTTATGGGCCGAGTTAGAGGCCAAGCAAATTGGGCCGCGATAACTTTGGATTTGCCCGGAGTTGGGGCTGCTTAGAGATGGACCGAGCCACTTGGATCTGCGCAGGTGATAAGCGCGCAACTTGCGTTGCTCGGTCAAAGGCGCGCACCGTTAGCCCGGCCGAGAAGCTTGTGCCAGAAGCCCGGCTGGATGGCCTTTGGTTGACCGATACGACCAGTCTCAAGGTCGGCTCTGCCGGAATGCTGCCGAGCATGGCTGGAAAGGATCTCAGTTCTTGGAGCAATTAGGCTTGGAACACAGCATGGCCATCGACAGCCGAGAAGATTCAGCCCGGCTGCCGAGCTCCCAGTAGAGTGGGCTGGCAGTCGGGTTAGGTGATGTTCAGCAAGATTTGTGCTGACAGATGGGATAGCAGAACCACGTGTCGAGAGATCACTGGGAGTAGATTTAGGGCACAAAAGGTATATAATCAAGTCTATGCCCCCCATGTTGTGGGACGAACATTTGGTAAGAGAAATACTTACACTCCATTCACTCCTCATTCTCTCTATCCTCAGGTATGTGCTAACTTGATCGTCGGAGGGGTTTTCCAGCCACACACCGCCGGGTAACTCACTGCTGTTGTGCACGCAAGTGATCGGATAGAAACGAAGCTCGGAAGCAAGAAGTGCAGGCTCGCCTGGATATTTACCCCACGCACAATTGGCGCCGTCTGTGGGAAGCCGATAGATAAAACCTTGTCTTCCAGGCTCATCTGATCGCCATCCATGGCGAACATCGAGGAGATTCCGCTGTCCGCCGTCGACGGAGTTACCCCAGAGTTGGGCAGACGGAGAGAAGGACATCCCACCATCATTCCTCCGATGGCGGACTTGGAGATTTCTCCCGGAGGACATTCAAGAGATACGCGGGATAAGCGCGGAAGAAGTTATGGTCATTCAAGGAGTCCAGACGGTCATCAACGGCAGAGAGAATCACATGCCAGACGTCTGGAACACAAGTTAAGGGACTAGGACACTGTCATCCGGCGAATGGCGGCGGAGATGGAGGAGCTGAAGCGGCATGTCAAAGGAAAGGGTGTAGCTAGAGAGGGAGACCACAGTGAGGGCACCCAACCTCACCGTTCAAGCAGTCAGAGCCAGCGGCGTACACCGTCCATCTCAATCACCAAAAGTTACAAGGTTGGAGATTCCGACGCGCACGAAGAGAAATCCAGCGTGCAAGATAGTACCTACCAACCCTCACGTCCAGCGACGACGTCGGGGTATTCTTATTCTGCTCATTCAGAGGATTTGCAAGCAGTTTTGAAGGAACGGGCTCGCCAGCGGGAGGCTCAAAGGGTGCCGGCGTTCCAGCGGCTATCCTATGGGGTTCACGCCAGTGAGGAGGTCGGAATGCCTCTACCCCGCCCATCCGCGCCTCTCCTTGTAGATACAGACTTGGCAAAGCTGAGTGCCACTCCATTCTCCGTGGATATTGAGACCGCACCGCTTCCGGCGGGCTTCCACCAGCCAAAGTTCACGCTCTATGACGGAAAAACAATACTAGGCACTTTTCTGAATATTTTTCTTCTTCTAGATATTTGATTGCCCAGAAAAGTTTCTAGGCACATATTCAAATTCTGGGTACTTCTCTAGATATCATTTTTGGTGTGATATTTGATTACATTTGAAACAGAATGTACCTGAAGATAGACCTGGTCTACAAGATCATTGTATGTTCCTGCCATCTGTCCATTGGCATCCTCAAATGGAAAAAATTCATGAGGCAGTTCATATTGTAAGGCTTCAATGGCAGCATTGAATACATCTACACAAAGGCCAGTGACAGTGGTTGCATTGGTTTGAGGATTGCGGTTTACATTTATCAATTCCTTGAACCCTGTTCTCGGAACACCAATTCTAAGCCTTTTCCCACTCATTCTCACCAACCAACCTTTTGGAGTGGTTGTAGAACCGCCTGGCCATACAATGGCTTCAAGACCGCTGTTGGATGGGTACATTTGCTTTGTAATTCCATATGTTGATGTCCAAAACCCAACTCTCCTTTCAATTCTGCTGATCACATTCACTATTTCAAAGGCCTCGGAGATCAATCTCCCATTCATGAGTCGAAAATCACCACTTAAACCCACAAATCTACTCTGTAATATCTCTTTTAGAAGCATTGACCCACTTTGAGAGGTTCCAATGTTAACCAAGTCCGTCAAGTTCCGCCCCAAGCTGCATTTCCTAGTTGGTTTTGACCCTCCTGAGTCCCCATGGTGGTGGGATAGTGCACTAAGACTGCCATTTTTTACCCTCTCAACTGCCCTTGCCAGTGCCCAAATTGCATCATATGCCCATATACCAAATATATTCAACTCTGCCACTTCAAAACTAGGATCTTGAATGTGAAATTTCCTTTTCCATCTTAGAGTGAAATTGTGGAGCTCGCCTGACGCCAGAATGTATGACTTGGAACCAAAAGCTCCTTGCATTGACTCTATGGCAGAAGAGTCCATGCTATGCAGTAGGTTCATGGTTTTAGCAGTTACAATCCAAGCATACCCTTCAGTCATCATTCCTAGCTTTTTCACATTTAGAAAAAGCCGAGAAGCAAGAGAAGGTGAGATATGGACTATATATACTGTTGTTTGCGTAGTCATGAGCTTGTGAAGCTCTTCAATAATTTGATCATTAGTGGCTGATGGAGAAATGGAACTCATGTATGCAATATGCAAACCAGTCTCTTCAAAGGTATTAGCTAAAAATGGGAGAATTTCTCTCCCACAATCAGTGTCCTCATGAACAAGGATGACATTCCTCCATCCAAATGACCCTATAATGTCTGTAATGCCTTTGAATTCAGTGATTTCATCTGATTTTATTTGAACAAAATAAGGATTATGGGTGGAGCAAGGACTGGTCATGAAAGAAATGATAGGAACTTTAGCTTTGTCTCCTAAAAAGGCCAAAAGTTTCTCTTCAAGCGAGGTCTCAGGGCCTATGATCATTGCTTGCACCTTGATGTTATCTATTAGATCAAGAGCTGCAAAGGGCAAAGTAGAAACCTGAATCAGAAATATCTGAACTGTTAATGTAATCACAATTGATCTTCATTAATTGAAGCTTTATATGGGATATTGCAATCTCAATTAACACCACCACTGAAAATTGAGTACGATTATAGTTGGTGTGGCATCTTGCTTGGATCGACCAAGTACATTGACAGTTTGAAGGTAGCAAGTGAAATTTATTTTAAGACAATCTTGAGGAGTAGGACATGTCATTTCAGATTATTCTTCAAGAATTGGATGTCCCAAGTTTGAGTCTCCTCTTGCAAGGGGCCAAGTACATGGGTTTCCATGAGCTAAATTACAAAATCACTTATTAGTTGGAGTGTGTAAGACTATTTCGATGGGCCTGACAATGTTAGATCCCCTAAAAGGAAAAATAAGCATTTTTTAGTCAATCAGTAGGAGATAATTTACAAATATCATAAGAACTACATCAAATTAGACACCAATTATATAACAAAGTCCTACATAATACCTCAAACTATCAAAATAATGACATTGCCGACTGGATGCTACTGAATGTTGGGGAATTTTCAAAAATAAAATGGGTTTATTTTTTATTGTTTTTCCAAACCTTCCTTTTGGAAAGTTTCTTAGCTTTGTGGCTTGTCTCACATCAAAAACATGAGAGAAAGTTTAAGAGCCTTTACAAACATTCATGTATATAATGTAAACATACACATGTAAAAATATACACATGATTAAAGGAAACACGAAAATATCCATCAATGGCTCTGATACCAATGTAAACAAAGTATAAAAATTGCAGCGGATAAAATATTTAGATCATACCTTTAGATGATAGAACCTCGTGGGTAAATCACGTGTTTCCAGAATCTTCAGATGAACCAACCCAGCAGTGAAGTGATATTACAGAATGAATATCACCCACACAAATCACAGTGCAAATGACTTGATCGTTGTTTTTGGGAGAGAATCAATATATGGGTAAAAAACAGATCATCCGTTGTTTTCCTTCTTAATCACCCATAACCCATATACCAGATATATAATATGTTATTATTATTTATCCATATCAGTTAATGGAGATAATATATGTATCCTGAGTGGTTATCCTAAATAGGTTTAAATTCAATTTCAAAACATATTTGGATAAGATTCAAATTCAAATTCAAATGGTCATGCCACATGGGCGCCCATTACTAACATGTATTGTAATCAATGTCGGGACAGTTTAAGGGGTCATGTTAGACTGTTGTAGTTGTAGAGACTAGATGTTGAACCAGTAAGCGTGACATATACATAACTTACGACATGGTGCTCAACGATGATCATATGGCAACAGATGACTAAGTGCGCTGGGGGGCTTGGATGGTGCGCCGGGGGGGGGACTTTGGTGGTCCGCCAAGTGGCGGCTTGGGTTGTGCACCAGAGAAAACGGCTTGGATTGTGTGTGCCAGAGAAAGAGGCTTGGGTGATGCGCCAAGGGGCGACTTTAGTGGTGCGCCATAGGGGCGGCTTGAGTTGTGTGCCACAAGGGATGGCTTAGGTGGTTTGCATGGGATACAACCATGTTCACCATGACACCAGAGAGGGCGGCTTGAATTGTGTACCAGAGGAAGCGGCTGGGGTGATGCGCCAAGGGGCGACTTAGGTGGTGCACCATAAACACCGTAATCTCAAAGAATTTGCTTCAACACTGAACCCCTTGGGAAAACAAGTATATTTACAGGCACAGATAACAAATGTAGGATTAAAAATGTCACCCCAGATTGCAATTATGGTACCAAGATATTAACTACCGAATGATAAATCAAGAACATAGATAGAAAAACACTTGCAATTGCATGCCCATGAAAAAAAAAAAAAAAACTCACCAGCAGACAGAGCAAGCAGGGGTTCCCCATTGGAATCCCTTGTATGAAGAACAACCCTTGTTTTATAGTGATTATTTACAGCATAAAAATCGGAAATTGCCATCATAATGCAGCTATGAACAACCTTCTCTACCCATGATCCCATATCAAGAATCACACCAACCTTAATCTCACTCACAGCACCACCAAGATTACTACTACTACTCTGGCTCTGGTATGCAAATGCATCAAGCTCTGCATTTGACAGAGTTAGAAGCCTCAACAACACTGGCAGTATTAGAAATGAAACCTGATTGTTTTTCTTCATCCTCATCTTGACTCAGACAAATGGGGTGTTTGTTTGTTTAGCTTTTTTTTTTTATTTATTTTAATTATTAGCCTCAATTTTCTCATAATATTTTCTTATATAAGCATGTTCAGGATACGCATTTGAAAATCCACAAACGGGTTTTCAAAGCTGAGCTTGAAGTTGTTCTTGAATTGACAAAGACCAACTAACGCGTGTTTACAAGTCAATAGCACTACTAGAAATGAAACCAATAATTAGCTTGTTTGGTTCTATTTTCAGGAATATTCACTTTTTTTTAAATTAAATTTTTTTATTTTTTTGTACTTTTTTGTTTTCACTAAATTTTTTTAATATTTTAAACAATTTTTTTTTTAATTTTTAAATACACAAAGATAACACTTATCATGCCGAATACGCCCACATAGCGTACTTTAGGCTCCCACAACAAAGAAAAGATCGGGGAATATAGGTCCTCCCAAAGACAATCCGAGGATTCACTCAATAGCTAAGGCTCTGGCTTTTACCGATAGGTAGGTCAATGGATTTGCAATTTTGCATCTAGAATCATTCTAGGATATTCTATATGTAAGTCATCGAAGACAAACCGAGAATTTTCCTAAAACAATCCCTAAGGATCATACATCCGAGCATATAAATTACATCACCCATATCCATCATATCTAAAATAGAGGACTGCCCACCCTAGGTGGCGACAACCTTATAAATTCCTAGCTCATAATGACAAAGTAAGGAAAAACTTCTTTTGGACCATTGATCATGCCTCAGTGGTCTTCATCGATCATCGTTGGCCTATCATGGCTTGAAGAAATCTAAGAACCACTATTTGGATAACTGTTTTAGGTTGCAAAAGATTTATTAAAGCTAGCAACCTTTTTGCGCTCCTAACTTTTCACCATAAAAGCAGAAGGTAAATCCCTACGGATCTACTTATCCAATTCTCTAATGAAAATGTTGGGTCATAATGTCCACAAATCAATGTTCCGAACTTATGTCAATCATAGCCTAAGTCAAAATAACCTCACTCCCCAGGAGGAAGTCTTCTCATGGTCTACACTTTCCTCAATGGTGCGACTTTTCGGTATCTAGCGAGCCTTATGCCTCAACAATGACTATCCAAATTACGCATAACTTTATAACAGTTTTGCGTCATAATGGAAAGTCAACCAAATTATAAAAAATGGTTAATCCTCAAAGACTTTGTCTTAAACTACGCAACATTGATCCACTTTCTAAAAATAGGGGACTAGAGCCTTAGGCATTATCCTAGGCTCTTTATCATCTTGAGGAGCAATCATGAATGTTTCCCTCTCAATCACCCAGTGATAACGTGGAAAATTTTGACATTCGCTACCACGCAACTAAGAATGTAGAGTATTCTTCTCTAATGGAGTAATTCATTAGTAGGCACATCACTCCCACTATCCCTAGGATATTGGAAATTTCTTTCCAGTCTCAACTAGGCTACATAGAGCGCTATGCTTGGAATTCTCCATCTTATAGAGTTCCGAAAACTTTATTCACGTCACCTTTACTAATAAAACTTTATGTGACTTAGTTACACTACCACAAAGCTGCTTACCTATATGCACATGACCCGGAGGGTTTGCATGACCGCATACAATAATGCGCCACACGACCCTTTGTATTTACAAGACAGCATACAATAATGCGCTATAGAACCCTAGGTCTTAACTTCACAATCTTATGAGAAGTAAAATAAAGATAAGCTGCTTAACAGTTACAGATCGCCCATAGATGGCTCTCCACTAACCTATTACTCAAATGGAGTGTAAAACCTGATATAGAGGGCACTTAGTTAGGGATATAGGCAACAAACTAGTGCAATTCCCAATCGGGAAACATTTTGCGCCATTATCCACCTAACATTAACAATATTTAATTCCTTATTCTCTACTACACCATTGTGTTGTTGAGTACTAGGAATAATCAATTTTCTAAGCATCCATCTCTCTTCACAGAGTTTTCTAAAAATAACTCAAATAGATACTCGCCACCTTGGTCAAAACTAAAAACATGAATGCTGTTATCTAATTGATCTCAATCTCATATGTGCAATGTCAAAAATCATCTCAAAACTTTTTGACTTATGGGAGATCAAATAGTCTTGACTCAGATGCATATCGTAATCTAAATGCGATGAGATTGGAGCTTACTATCATGCCTTCATAGATACCCGAGTAACAGATTTATAGTGCACTAACTTGCTCAAGGTTGCACATTCAAATGAGACTTTTGACTTATGGGAGATTAACTAGTCTTGACTCAGATGCGTATCGTAATCTATAAATGTGTCGAGATTGAGGCTTAGCTATCATACCCTCACACATATCTAGTCACAAATATCATAGTGGACTAAATGTGCCAAAACAAATGACCTTCTATGGCTTTCCTACTTACTTGTGCGCACCCATTGCGAACAGAGTTACACATTCACATGAGAGCAGGATGTCATAAGCGAGTGGGCCCGAGAAGGCCTACTCAAACCATCGTGTCATCATCTCATTAATGTGATTAAGTATAATAAGCCACTGGTTCATGACTAATGTTATAAGCTAATTCCAATCATCTTAACGTGTGAGTTCTCAAAGATAAGTTTAAAAGGTTTAAGCCCAACTAGGTAATGACTCAGGACTAATTCATATTCACTAGATCATAAAAGGATGTTATGGAGATATCAACTGCGCCTAAGTCGCAAATTTAACTAGTAAGTGCTAATCCCCTGCACCTTCAAGTCAATCTTATTCTCCATACACTTTAATACATCTAGTTGAAAGATGACGATACTCCTCTTGCCATATCTATTTCTCGCTTCATAGTTACTTGCAATTAATTCTACTATCCACAAGAAGGAGAGAATAAGCTATCACCTATGGCAGCTCTTGAAGTAACTTAAGCGCGAATGAGGCTAAAGAGTCTAATTTCAACACAATGCTCTCACAAGTGATGCGTCAAATTCGTAGAGTCATAACAACCTTGTCGGCCTTGACCTTTTCATTACTATGCTGTAACGTTTGCGCTTAGTGATAAATGTTATTCAAAACGTTAGCCTAGTAAAGGAATCACACAAAGAAGCCCTTTCTCATGTCTCACACTCAAGTGTGGAAACAAAGTGTCCAGACTTAGACAAGTTAGCAATGCTAATAGATTTTGCAGCTTCTAAGCGCTAATCTTTTAACTTCATGTGATATTTCAACGCACACTATTATAGCGCACGAAATTTTTGCTCCATCCACTCCCAGCAGCTTCTAAGCGCTAATCTTTTAACTTCACGTGATATTTCAACGCACACTATTATAGTGCACAAAATTTTTTGCTCCATCCACTCCCAATAATTGTGTAGAGAGCAAAACACTGCTTAAACTGGCTACTCGTCTTACACTTAATGACTAATTTATTTAAGCTCGCATTTCTTGGATGACATGACTCATGAATGTTACTTTATCCAATGATGTAACATTATTTACAAGTCAAATTACAGAGTCAATCCGCGCAGCTTAATAGTCAAGATCATATACAGATCTATTGAGGGCTTACTAATTTCATAACTCCAAAACTCGCCAACCAAAACTACGTAGCGTGCCGCTAACCATAGCGCACACATTAGTTTTTATTGTGCCAAACAAGGCAACAAAAAACACGGCGACTTTGAGTCATGTTTCCTTACTTTGGCTCAATTAAGGTTTGACCTAAAGTCTCCAAGACTTTTGCTCATCTAAAGAATGGGATTAGTTTGTTCACATTTGAACATCTCTACTAAGTCTAGGTCAATCAAATTAACTTCCATAAGTTAAATCAATTTAGAGAGAAATTCGCATTGGGATTAATTTGTTTAGCATAATATAATTTTGCCGCAAAAATCTAAATTAAATAGTGACAATATTACACAAGTCGCAAGATCGAAAACCCGCTATGCTCGTAATCATTTCTTGCGCCACAAGTGACAATTATCCAAAATTTAGTTTAATTTATGCGCAAAATATTGGTTTTCGGGAGTTAATCTACAAAGATTTCTCTCAACTAAATAACCTCCCACTGACTATGGCATATACAAAGCATGATAAATTCCATACAATAACATCTTAATGTAAATTTACAAATAACTCATGCTATATTCATTTAATAATGGAATTCAAATAAATAATCATGCTCCTCTAATTACAACATATTACAAACCCAAAAAATATGCTGTATTTAATATTTAAATTATGCCATAATAGAAAGTATATCATACTGAAATTTTCTGGAATTTTCTGGTATTTTCTGGAATTTTAAATAACTAATACACACACATAAAATCAGAAATAAATATTCCAGAATCTGATAAAATGCTATAACTATACTAGTAAATAGTAAACTACATCAATAGTCTACAATAAAAAATTCTGTCCCAGAAAGTTAATCATACAACACCAGATGCATTTTAAACTAGAAATAATGAATTATTATTTCAGGAAAAATATTTTTATTTTTATAAAATTTTCAAAATTTTACAGAAGATAAAAAAAATAATTCTGAGTCTAACGGTACCAACCACACTTAAAACAAAGCTATAACGAATTAATTATGACCATTTAACGTAATTCTGAATTTTAAAGAGAACAAACAGACCCTTAACCACAGCCGTCAAACCAGCCAAGATGGCACGGAAAATGACGCGGCTCGGCTCGAAGAACGGCTCAGTGCTCGTCTCAAGAGCGCGGCTCGGTGAGCGGCTCAGGGCACAGTGCGCGCGCATGGCGCGGAGGGTACGCGCGTGGACAGCGCCGCTAACAAGCGCGTGATGGCGCGTGCAGGCGTGTCGGCAGGGCATCTGGTGCGTGGGAGCGCGTGGCAGA